TGACTGGCTAATTTCACTCAACATAATGTCCTCAAGGTTCATCCATGTTATGCGGTGGCTTGCCGCTTCCTTGTTATTCTTCAAGGTAGCATAATATTTCATTGTGTGTATGTACCACAGTTTGTTTATCCATTCTTCAGTTGATGGGCACTTTGGCTGTCTCCATCTTTTTGCTATTGTAAATAGTGATGCTATGAACATTGGTGTGCATATATCTTCTCCTGTTATGGCCCGTTTTTCTTGTGGGTAAATACCAAGTAGAGGAATTGCTGGATCATAAGGTATTTCTATTTTCAACCTTCTGAGGAAATGCCCTATTGCTTTCCAGAGAGGTTGGACCATTTTGCAGTCCCACCAAAACTCATCACTTTTTATTTCTTTTTTTTTTTTTTTTTCAGGTGCATGCTCCGAGTCCTAGACTCATTTGGCACTGAACCTGAATTTAACCATGCAAATTATGCTCAATCTAAAGGCCACAAGACCCCATGGGGAAAATGGAATCTGAACCCTCAGCAGTTTTATACCATGTTTCGTGAGTATTCATGTTTCACCTCTGCTTTCTAGAATGACTTCTGGGATGGATAAAATAAATAAATGAGACAGCCATTTGAACTGTAATTCTCGGGATAGTTAGCTTTCAAAATGTGTACCATTGAGCCTTTTTTCTTGGAAACAACTGAATTTCTTGTTTTGGAATTGAAAAGCTATGTGAACATTTTGTCAAAAGCCTTGGAGATGTTCTGGAGAGAAATATTCAATATCAAGTATCAGTAGAAATCTATGAGGAAAGGGCTTTGAGCTGGTGTTGGATTGGCAGGCTCTAAACATGTTCCATACCAGAACTGTTGCTTAGATTCCATTTCTGCTGGTAATGAGGTCTTCCCTGAGAATCCAGTTTCCACATTCAAGACTTCATCATTTGAAGCATCAAACCTTTAAAAAATATAACTTCTTTTAATGGAGCCATTTCAAACTCTGCTTCATACTTTTTTACTGGCTTCCTAAATATTAGTGCTAGAATAAAATGTCACCTTGTCCTATTGACTTGTAGTCACTGCTCTCATCGAGCTCAGTATCATCTGAGGGTACGTCATGAGAGAACACACCAGAAGAGACAGTGAGCTAACTGACCTCCACTAATGTGTTCTGACCATTTTTTAGTTTCGATGGTTTTCTTTTACACATTCAACATTTCTTATCGCTGCTAACAGTTTACCTGCCTCTAGCTTCTTTTTCTTTCTAATTAACTGGGGGACAGAAAGTCAAATAACCAAATTTGATAGTGTATATACCAAACAAATTTATCACTTAAGTCAACAGACCCTTAGCAATGATTTGATGTCTGCTTCTGGAAATGAAAGTATATGAGTTCGACAGCTAACTTGGATGCTCAGAGTGAAGAATTCCCATTTTCTAAAATTATTAGAGTAATTCTAAGGCAGTGGTTCCTATCAGAATTTAATTTCTGAGAAGGAACTCTGATTTCTTTGTTAAGTCTGACTCAGGAGGCCCCTGTCCTTGAGCATAGCCATGTGGCTGCCTTCGCTCTCATATGCAGTCACCTGAAGATGACTGCCCCCAGGCTCAGTAAATGTATTATTGCAGGTACATTGGACTCATACCTGGGCTTCATGTCTGAGAAGGGAGAATTGAGAAGAATTAAGGAAAATGGGAGAACAGTTTTTAAAACAGAATTTGTTTTTTACACATTCTCTTTTGCCTTGAGAGGTTTGTGAGAACAGGCTGGACACATTGTGAACATTAAAATCATTGTTCTTAGAGCTTTATCATCCTGTTATTATAATCTTTCTCTACAGCACAGTTTGGGAGCAGCCTCATATTGGACAAATTAGGTGACAAATGGCTTTCAGCATGGTAAGACATGGTGGGAAGCTTGACTTTTCTGTTTAGCTTGTAGGGACTGGAATGAGATCAGACAAAAGAACCTACGAAGTGGTCTTGTGTGTATGCCAAATAGCAGCAAATGTAACTTCTCTCTATAATAGTCACAACTGCCTGAAAGACTCCATGAGTATATGACCATCACGAGATGGTGCTACTTTGAGAGGTTTTTCTGTTGTTGTTAGATACCATAGTGTTAATTCAGACTAATAGCTACCCTAGACACAACAGAACAAAACACTGCCCAGTCCTGTACCACCTTCACAATTGCTGCTACTCTTGAGCTCATTGCTGCTTCTCATCCATCTCACTGGGGGTCTTCCTCTTTTCACTGACCCTCCACTTTACCAAGCATGATGTTCTTTTCCAGGGACTGATTCCTCATGGCAACATGTCCAAAGAATGAGAGACAAAGTCTTGCCATCTTCACTTCTAAGAAGCATTCTGGCTGTGCTTTTTCTAAGACAAGTTTTGTTTCTTTTTCTGGCAGCCCATGGTCCTTTCTGTATTCTCCAACACCATAATTCAAATGCATTGATTTTTATGTAGTCTTCCTTACTCATTGACCAGATTTCACATGCATATAAAGTGATTGAAAATACCATGGCTTGGGTCAGGTGCACCTTATACCTAAGCTGACATCTTTGCTCTTGAACAAGAGGTCTTGTGCAACATATTTGCCTTATGGACTAAGCTATTTGATTTCTTGACTGTTGCTTCTATGTATGTTACTTGTGGAGTCAAGCAAAATGAAATTTTTAATAACTTCAATCTTTTTTCCATTTATCATGATGTTATTTGTTGGTACAGTTGTGAGGATTTTTCTATACTATATGTTGTTGTTGTTAAGTGCTGTTTAGTCGGTTGCGACCCATAGTGACCCTGTATAGAGTTTCCAAGAAGCAGCTGGTGAGCTTGAACCACCAACCTTTCAGTTCAAATGGCTTGGCTGGCTGGCACTATTCAAAATACTGAGGTGCAATTCATACTGAAGGCTGCCGTCTTTGATCTTATCAGTATTTTAAGTCCTCTGCATATTGTAGGTTGTTAATGAGTCTTCCTCCAATCCTGATGCCACATTCTTCTTCATATAATTCACCTTCTCAGATTATTTGCTCAGCATACACATTAAATAAGTATGATGAAAAGATACAACTGTGGTGTTCACCTTTCCTGATTTAAAACCACTGAGTAGCCCTTGTTCTGTTTAAACAACTGCCTCTTAGTCTGTATACAAGTTCCTCATGAACACAGTTAAGTGTTCTGGAATTTCCATTCTTTGAAATGTTTCCCATTATTTGTTAAGATCCACACAGTCAAATGTCTTTGCATAGTCAATAACATTTGACACAAGTAAACATCTTTCTGGTTTTATCTGTTTCAGCCAATATCCCTCTGACATCAGCAGTGATATCCCTTCTGTATCCTCTTCCGAACCTGGCTTGAATTTCTGACAGCTCTCTGTTGATGTACTGCTGGAATCATTTTTTAATTATCTTCTGCAAAAATTTTCTTGCATGTGATATTAGAAATGATTTCCACATTCCGTTGGGTCACCTTTCTTTGGAATGGGTACAAATATAAGTCCCTTCCAACTGATTTGCCAGGTAGCTGTCTTCCAGATATATTCCAAATTCCAACAAAAGCATTCACTAAACATTACAAATAGACTGAAGTAAATGAAACACGCCTAACTACCCTTAACTTAAACTGAACCTTTACTTAAACTGACTTTAAAGCACAGTATTTTGTTTTAAATTCTTATTTACTTATATGAAACTATTATCAGTATACATGTATTATAGAAGTCAAGATTTTCAGTATGAAAAAGGGAATAGAAGCATAAAATTGAAGAATTTGTGCATAGACTGTAGGCTTCAATTTGAATAGAAAATATCAGTATGAACTCTTTTTTTTTTTTTTTCTCGCTTAGAAAATGTTTCCCAGTTCTCTACTTACAAATGATCTAAAAGTAAAGAATATCCAATAGCAGTGAATATCCTCAGCACTCAAATTGGGATTCCCCTAAAAATACCATTTCCTACTGAAAGGAAATGCATCCTAGGATAAATCGCTGAGTCTAAGTCTGAGGCATAAAATGTTCAAACTGGGGCATTGGTCATGCCAGAAAACAAGGAGTAAGGAAGCTAACAATGACCACTGGGTGATATCCAAAGGACACAAAAGCCAACCTGAAGGGGCTAGCACTCTTGAGCATCAAAAGAATCATGACTACTGTGACTTGAAATTGAATGAAAAATAATTTATGAGTCCCTTATTATACTCCAAATATACTCCCAATAGATGGTTGTTATTATTGGTTGCCGTCAAGTTCTGTACAGCTCTTGGCAGCTTCATGTATATAACAGAACAAAACACTGCCTGGTGCTGGGACATCTTTAGGATGGTTGGTGATTTCTAACTCACTGTGGCAGCAGGGTTCATCTTCCAGCACTGTATAGGGCTGTTCTGTTGTGATCCGGAGTGTTTTCATTGACTAATCTTTGGAAGGCCTTTCGTCCTATCCTGTGTTAGTCTAGGATGTCTTGTTGAAACCTGTCCAGCAAATTCACAGTACTGGTATTTGAAATTCCTGTGGTACAGCATCGGCATCGTAACATTTGTCAGAGGGGTGTTGGAGTCCAGACAGAAAACTCCACCATGTCCTATCAGTCACCTTTGTAAGTTGCTAGGACACCAACTCCTTACTCTGAAGAGTAAAGGAAAACAATCTAGCCTGTATCCTTCCTTTCTAGGACAGATTGTACTTGAAGGTAATCAAATAGTTGATGAGGGAAAGTTGATAATTATAGAGAAATCACAGCAACTAAATGCAAATAAGTGAATGTTAGAATTGGGAAATTAGCATTTTAAATCCCATAATGTTCATCAGTGGTTGTTAAATTCATCAGGCGATGAAAATGCTCCTCATGGTTGGGCTGTTTTCTGTGAAGGAAGTAAGGGCAAAGAAGCAGTTGGAGGCCTTTGTCATGATAAGATGCATCTGGGCTGGAGGAGTCTTCAAATAGCATGTGGACAAATGGAATTAAAAAATAATATTTTTCCACAAACGTTCTGAAGTCTCTTTGTGTTCTTAAACAGAACTGTTCCATATGGTTTCTTGACTGTAACTGTAATCTTTAAAGCAGCAGATTCTGCTTGGTGGGTTCAGGTCATCAACCTTTTGTTTACTTGTTTTGAAGTGCCATTGAGTCAGTTCCAACTCATAGTGATCCTGTATAGGGTTTCCATGGGGTGACTGGCGAGTTTGAACTACCATTCTTGTGGTTCAAACCAACTTTGTGGTCCATAGCGCCACACCAGGATTAGTCATCAAGTACAAACTGTTTGTCCCATCTGGGGACCTTGTTAATATAAATGGAGTGATGTTGTTGTTAGTCCCACTGAGTCAGTTCCAACTCATAGCAGCCCTCTAGACGGTTTCTGAAGCTTTAAATCTTTGCGGGAACAGAAAGCCTCATCTTTCTCCTGAGCAGCGGCTGGTAGACTTGTGGTTCACAGTTCAGTGCTTATCCTCTCGTGCCACCACACTCCCAGAAGTGAACTGATCCTAATCATTATATAACTAGTGTGTAAAAATGGACCTATACTGAGACATAATCAGACTTT